TATATATATATATATATATGTCTCAACTGAAAAAACATAGAGAAATATATACACAATATACATAAACAAAAGTGTAATAAACATGTACTGAGCATGCAAGATGTTCTGATCTCATGTGGTTAATGAATGTGGCCCCAAAATGAGCATAAGGTAACAGATCAATCAGATTTATAGCCGAGAATTTCGATTGACGTGGACATGTGCTTCTACGATGGCTAGAGTGAATAGTGCTCTTAGGATGTAATTTCATGGCCTGATCCACACAGTCTGGACCACCCTGTGAAGAATCTTACTTGTACTGAATTTGGTATGCTAAAGAATTACAAATATTCTAACCATCTATCTAAAGATCCAATTGCATTGTGTTTCAGCTAAAAAAACTACCATTTTTGTCTTGCTTGACGTATACAGTTCTCTAAGGATTTTTGCTAGAAAATATTCAGCATTCAGAAATACCAGTAATGCCTGAACCAAAAAGTACACTAATAACTACCAAAGGTACATTATGTAATCTTTCAAGCAAGTGCAACACTTGCTTGAACCAGTGCACTGTTTTCACCAAACAGAAAAATTTGGTTAATTCTTAAAATATGTACATTTGCTTTCGTTAAGTTTCATTATAATCCTTTTAAAGCTAGTGGCCCACTCAAAGGGTTCTTTATATTCATTGTCATTAGTTTAAAATAAATAGGAAACTGTGACGGGGATAAATACATTCCTAGAAAATCCATAAATACATATATATAGATATATATATATACAGGTGAAACTCTGTTTTGTCTAGAAATAAATTTGTCAATATTAGGTAAGTATATTGGACAGGTTTTTTTCACAGCTTTGTTCATATTAAGTAGATTTGTCAATTATATGTTTACACAGGATTGATTAACCCCTTTGTGACGGGAGACGTACAGTGTACGTCCTGTCACTTTGTGCCTATATGACTGGCCACGTACACTGTACGTGACGAGTTATATCAGGCTTTGTAATGCCAGTATTTGCTGATTCTCAGCATTTAACAGTCATTCATTAATGTCTCAGTATTGAGGCATTAATTAATGAAATAATTAAGCTTTTTGTAAAAGCTTCTTCCTTTCATTAATGAAAGAATGAAGCCGTTACATGCAAATAGAGGACCGCAATTTGCGATCCCGTATTTGACAGCTCAAAATAGCAGAGAGGCAGCAGTGACTCACCTCACCTCTCTGCTATTTGTTTTGACAGCTCGAGAGCCCGATGTTTAGATACATTTCACTGAAAGGATACAATGTATATCTTTTGAGTGAAATGTATCATTTCTGATCGTCTAGGCACGATCAAAGAGCTTTTAGTGAGATCTGAATCTGACTAAAGTCAGGATCAGTCTCTAAGGTTATTATTAGCTGTTCCTAAGTTTGGATCAGCCTAATAGCCAAAAATAAAATAAAAAAGTTAATTTATCAAGCTGTCATAGTGATTGCTTGATATAAAGTGACAAGAAAAAAAAAAGTTATTTTTTTTAATTTTTATTTTTTTTTACAAAGTGTAAAAAAAATAAAAATAAAGTGTAAAACAAAATTAGGAAAATATAAATTATATATAAATATATTT